TACAGTTAAAAGTACAGCCTATCATGAAAGACAGTTGTATAACATTTGAAAAATACAGGAAAATAGGAAGTTGAAATAAATACCCTTATCCCATCATCCAAGGGGAATGATACCATCAAGAAGAGTTTGGTGGATTTATTTATAATATTCTCTTTCTGTGTATCTATCTACTTATCTATCTATCTATCTATCTATCTATCTATCTGGATTTTACATTTATGAGCACATCCACATATATGATGTGGATGTCACATCAAAGAATGTAAGATTATTAAATTTTATGGCACAGCCTACATGAAACATGTACATATATGGCTATTCTCTAATTCTTAACCGCTTTCTCATAATTATTTTTGGTGATCACACATTAATGACCATTAATTTAGGTCATCAATGGCCCTTAGATTATTAAGACCATTAACGATGGTCTTGTTAATAATAGTAAACTCCCTTATCCACACATTTCTGCCTCTCTTTACACAGTCCTATAGGTTGGATTCTTGGATCAAAGATTTCAAATATATTGAAGTTATGATAATTGATATTAAATTGCTTTCTAGAAAGAATACAGCTATTTAAATACCCTTCCTTCCCTTATCTGATGGTATCATTAGTCCAGCATTTGCTGAAATGCACCAGCAAGTGATTGATTAGGGGGAGAGAATATGCACACAATTGCTTTCTCTTTTCGACTCTCTGTCTCACACACACACATACACACACACTCACATTGCAGACTCTGTCATGCCTGGCTCTTGTGACTGCCTGAAGGAAAGAGATCTGCCAACTCCTGAGGCATAAACGGGATATCTGAGTTCAGTAACTAAGAAGTGCAACTGTCTGAAGTCTGTGTTCTGAGACTGTTGGCTACCGTGGCAACAGAGAATCCATATTAGAGTCAGAAGTATGGAGAGAGAAAAAGAGGATATCTGTCCCCTTGATTTAGTTGTTGTTTTGTATCACTGTGACCTAAATATATGACAAGAACAACTTAGAGAAGGAAAAGTTTATTTGGGGCTGATGTTTTCAGAGGTCTGATTGCACAGATGACTGGCTTCCTTGCTCTGGTCCACGGTGGAGCAGCACCTCATGGGGGATGGTCCAGAGGAGGAAAGCTGCTCAGCTGATGGAAGGCCAAGAAGTCCAGAGAGAGAAACACGGGGAGGAAGAATAATGCTTCCAAGGCCAGCCTTCAGTGACCCACCTCCTCCAGCTATGCTCCACATGCTACAGTAACCGCTCAGTCAGTCAATTTAAACTAGGATGGACTGATGAGGTTACAGCTCTCACAGTCCAATTATTTCATCTCAAACCATTCCTCCATTAATACAGGAGCCTTTGGGGAACACTTCTAATTGAAACTATAACAAATAGATAAGGGGTCTGAAGGCAAAAAGAGAAGAGCCAATACACACACAGTATTTACTAATACAGTGTATGTACAGAATGTCTCCAGATAATACAAGACAATTGTTAACACTGGTTGGCTCCAAGCAAGGAAAAAGATGGTAGAATATTGACATATTACTCTATAACATTTCGTACCTTTTGAATTCTCTCTCTTTTTTTTTTTTTTGGAGTGCTGTTGATAGAACCCAAGGCCTCACATCTAAAAACACACTACATTGAACTACACCCCAGATCCCTTTTGAATTTTGAACCATGTGACTATATATTGCCTATTTAAAAAAATAAATAATAGTCAAATTTAAAAGGTGACAATAACCCCCCCAAAAGTCTATTTGCCAGTAGTCATTAAGACTGTTCACAAGTATGCCCTGCTTCTTCTCTCCTGAGTGTATAAGAGTATAGTTCTCCAAACTGTCAAGGCAGGTTTGGCCATATTTTGCTTGACAAATGAAAGACAAGTTGAACTAATGAGTCATGATCAGGCTGAGGCTATAAAGTCAGTGTTTGTTTTGCCACTGTCCCCTTTTCCTGCCTTATGGATCATGGAAGCATCTAACCAGATGGAATCCTGATTATCCTGAGTGCATGACTTCTAAGTAGTAAACACCCTCCTTTCCACCACTGCTACACTACAATATATTGGACAGGTAGCATGAAGGAGAAATAACCCTTGTTGTTTTAAGTTACTGAGTTAATGGAATTGTTTGTCACCACAGCACGTGCGAGCGTATCCTCACTGATAAAACATTGGGCCCTATCCTCACTGATAAAAGATTTAACTAGATGACTCTCTATACTTTTTCCAAAATCAAAATATGTGATTTTTAAGAATATTTGTGCTTATCCTCTTGTATTAAAAATAGTTCATATATTTGTATCCATATAAATGTTATTGATTTGAGCAACAATATGAATATTTACTTGTGACTATGAATACAGCCTAAATTTGGCAACTTATAGTAAAACCTCAAAAACATATACCTTTTGACCAAGAAATTCTATTCCTAGGAACTAATCCTAAGGAAATAATCTGTAACAATCTTGTAATAATGGCTAACTTTTATTGAACAGTTATTGTTCCATAGGCACTATTATAAGTGCTTTGAATGTTTATAGCACTCAATGATGCATCACCTGCTATTATTATTATCTATTCTTATCACATTCTTACACAAGGAGACGGAGGCTTAGAGAAGTTAAGCAACTTGCTTTAAATTATATAACAGAATATTTTAATCCATCAATATGAGTCCAGAGCTGTGCTTTCAATCATTATGATATACTCATACTTCTTAAATACCTTTAAGTATATAAATCAGAGAACTGCATTAGAATAACAAATCCAGTGTTATGGTTTGGATATGAGGTAGCCCCCAGTAGCTCTTGTGTGAGACAATGCAAGAACCTTCAGAGGTGAGACAATCAGATTAATACACTGATATGGATTAGCTGAGTGGTAACAGTAAGCAGGTGGGGTATGGCTAAAAGAGAAGGGTCACTAGGTGCGTGCCTTTGAGGCTTATATTTTGTCCTTGGTGAATGGAGCGCTCTCTCTCTCTCTCTCTCTCTCTCTCTCTCATTCCTGCTTGCCATGTCCTGAGCTGCTTCCCTCTGCCATAATGTTCTGCCTCAACTTGGGTCCAGAGCTGTGGAGTAGACTGACTGTGGACTGAAACTCTGAAACCTCTGAAACATGCACCAAATAATCTACGTTGTTCTT